TTTCTTTTTTTTTTTTTTTTTTGAGACGGAGTTTCGCTCTTGTTACCTAGGCTGGAGTGCAATGGCGCGATCTCGGCTCACCGCAACCTCCGCCTCCTGGGTTCAGGCAATTCTCCTGCCTCAGCCTCCTGAGTCGCTGGGACTACAGGCACGCACCACCATGCCCAGCTAATGTTTTGTATTTTTAGTAGAGACGGGGTTTCACCATGTTGACCAGGATGGTCTCGATCTCTTGACCTCGTGATCCACCCGCCTTGGCCTCCCAAAGTGCTGGGATTACAGGCTTGAGCCACCGCGCCCGGCATGATTCATTTTTTCTATTGGAATTGAGTCAATTTTTTATCTTCATTATAATCATTATAAGTTTTTCTTTTCTTTCCAAGAAGACTTGTTTTGTAGTTTTCCTTTTGTGGAAAAATACTCCTTTGTTACTAAATCAGAATTAAAATGTTATAAAAGGAATTAAAATTTTTCTACCCAGACACCAACTACTTTAAGATTCATCTGTTCATTTGATATGCGAACAATTTTATTCACTTGTTTATTCATTGAACATTATTTTTAAAGCTTATTTTAATATTGCTACTCATTTGTAATATTCATATAATATTCCATAGATCCCTGGTATCTCTGACAGGCACATCATAAGCACACATGTCATATCTCTGACATGACATGTGTGTCCAGTGAATGTCAGGCTGACCTCTCAAACCAGTGCCCAACAGAGGTGGTAGTTTTTCTGCCAAAAGTTGAGGTCCAGCCTTCAGCATTTTTAGGTTAAGAAGCTCAAGATTTGTAGTATTCAGAGACTTTATTTTGATACATTGATTTGAATTAACCAATTTAACAGGGAGGCATGAAACTTCTAGAATATAAATGAATTAACTTAATAAATATAACTAGAAGGGAGAGGGGATTTGGAATATATGAACATTTTTTTAAATTTAATTTTTAGTTGACAAATATTAGAATTTGAACATCTTAATGGATTCATTTTCCTCTGGAAGAAAAATGTACCTGGAACTTTGGGTAGCTGTATGACCATTCACTTATAACACAGGGAAGGAGTTAAATCATTTTTAGCACAGCCATCAGTAACTTTAACATACAAATTAACCTGTGAAGAAGACTATTGATCAGAGTCCATTCTGAAGGTACCC